CCCCCCATGCCAGGCAATGGAGGTGGAGGTGGGATTCCCCCCATGCCAGGCAATGGGGGTGGAGGTGGGATTCCCCCTATGCCAGGCAATGGGGGTGGAGGAGGGATGACCCTTGTGCCAGGCAATGGAGGTGGAGGTGGGATTCCCCCCATGCCAAGCAATGGAGGTGGAGGAGGGATGACCCTCGTGCCAGGCAATGGGGGTGGAGGTGGGATACCCCCTATGCAAGGCAATGAAGGTGAAGGAGGGATGACCCCCGTGCCAGGCAATGGAGGTGGAGGAGGGATGCCAGGGAGTGGTGGGGCTGGTGGTGAATTCATGGAGGCTGTGGGGGGCATGGATGCTGGGCTAGATGGCAGGGGTGGAGGTGGTGGGGGTGGAGGCGGTGGTGGTGGAGGGGCAGGAGCAGCGTTGGGTGGAGGGTTAGAGGTCTGTGGTGAGGTAAAGCAGGCTGAGAGCGGTGAGGACGAGGTCTTCTCTTCACAGGCTTGTGGTCCTGAGGAAGCTTCTGGTGTCGTGCAGGGGTTTGGTGATCCCACCAGGCTCTGAACTGCACTTGTGCATGGTTCTAGTTCAGTCTGGATGCCTCCATTTGCATTTCCAGAAAGATGTTTTTCAGCTCTTTTTTGCTTGTTTGGATGCTTCTTGATAGATAACAGCCTCTCAATTACTTCTTCAACAGTGTTTCCTTGGACTAGAAAAACATGCTGAGGTCAGAAAAGAGGATGATGCTCAATGAGATGTTCATGCTATCCAGCTCCCGCAGACCTGGAGCCACAAAGCTCCAGGATAATTTTACCCAGTGGTACTTTAATTTAATAGGGAAATTCTCATGGTACTGGCTCATACACACTGTTTTGAGCATGCCTGCCAGCACAGCCAGGCAGCCCCAGTGGCAAGATGCCAATGAAAACAGATTCTTGTTGACTCTCATGACCCAGGGCTCACTACAATGCCAGGGATTAGCCATCAAAGCAAGATGGTGAATCTCGAGCCCAACATGAAACTTGGCCAGTTCTCACTGGCATCTGTATAGCTGGAGCTTCCCATCAATACATGACCCTGTGCAGCAGGTACAGTTTTGTCTCTATTACCTTCCCAGGGAACAACTTTTGTGGGCACTGGGTTGAATGAGGAAAAAAGAGAGCTGACTACAAGGCTAGATGTATGTCATTCTTACTGTCTACAAGGCTAGATGTATGTCATTCTTACTGTCATTGGCGAGCAAAAGGGCTCTGTTCACTACTGCATCCAGTGACTCCCACAGCAGTAGGCTGGAGTGGTGAGACGGTTCCAAGTGGAGCAAGCTCTGCAGGATGGACAGCAGCTGGATGGAGACTGGGGAGCGGCTCACCTGGAAAACAGGGCAGCTTTCCATCACACCAAGTCTGTGTACCAGACTGGTTGCAAGCAAACTCTGTTAACTTTGCCACTGCAGGTCTTTGCAACCTACATGAGGGCCTACTTACTTTATTGAAGAGAGATGAAAAGACCTCATGGTGATCATTCATGTTTATCCCATCACATATCTTCAGTAATTCCTCATCATCTTCTATCTTGAACTCTTCAAATGTATCACACTGGATAAGCAGATCCTCCTCCTCTATGTCTCTAAAGTATTACAGAACTCATTTTCACTGGAGAGCCCTTCACTGATTTTCAGATAATTATTTTTCTTTAAATGGCTTTTAGTTCTTTGCCTCTCAGACTCAGCTGGTTCATGCTGGAAGTGCCCAACTCTACCTTATGTATAGAGGATCAATTGCCATCAGCATATCTTTTCTCGAACTGAATATACCTCTTTGTATAGCCAATACATAGAAGTCAATGGGACTACTCCTGGAATAATCTAGCCCAGAGTATGCTTTATATGTACTTCTCCTTGGAGCAGTAACAGCAGAGTGGCATTTCTACCTTTTCTGAAATTGGGCCGGCACCTTTTTTTTTTCTTATAGTCAACATAAACATTGCTTTTTAAAAAACTTCCTTCTATGCTGTTCAAAATTCGATTAAAAAACCAAAAACATTCTAAAGCCAAGTTTTCTAGCACTCTTGAGAGACTCAGTGCAGGAGAACTCTGCTTGTGCTTGCTGTCAGTAATGACAGACCTTCTCTAACTTTTAAGGGTTTGGATAGAGCAATTCCAATTACATAAAATGTTCTAAAATTTATCATGGGTTTTTCTGATAGAACATCATTTTAAAATTATGAAACCCTGAAGTCAGATGTGTGCAGATATGCATTAGAAAGGTGTCACAGCATTCATCAACTGCTTAGTGAGCCCACAGCATCACTTCAGGTTAAGTCTGAAATGTAGCCTCAATAATATCATTGCTGATCTGTGCTCCATCTGTGCCAAAGCCTCTGTCATTGCCATCTGCAACAACAGCTGCTCTCATGACACTGTGGTCGATGAGAGCACCTGAACATTGGCCTAACGTCTCCAGTTCCATGTAATGGCTGCATACCTGTGTGGTCCTCTCCCTCCATGTATACCTCACAACTGAAGACTGCCAAGTATTAAACTTCCACAGCTATGTTACTGTGACTCTCATTTGTATAAGAAAATTTAAACAGTGATCCTTACCTTAGCTTGTCTAAAATATCCAACAACTGAAGACCTGGCAGAACAAAAAATACATATATATATATTGGCATTATGACCTACTTGGCACTGATCTACTATGATCTTTATATAATGTTACTCTCATAAACACTTTTTGCAGAAATAAAAAGTGAAGCTATCCCAAATCTGTCAAAGTAGGTCGGTTCATTCCATAACTGAAGAGACCTGCAGCTCACATCTGCAGCTGAGTGAGCTACTGAGCATCCCTCTGGGGTTGCAGAGGGACACTGGCACTTCTAGGGCACAAGTCTTCTCATTCTAAAGTAGATGTCTAAAGCAAGTCATATGAACTGTGTGATCAAATGTCCCTTTTTCTCCACAGAAGGAAATGGAGCCTAGGCTCACCAGCACAGATGTGCACATTATATGAGGTGAATCCAAACTTCATCTCCTTTTATGATGAATTGTAATATAATGAAAAGTGCCCACAAAAGATGGCTGGTTATAAAAATGTGTTTGAGACTATCAGGGGGTGGTGGGATGATAGAAAGGATCAAAGGTATGGGAGAGCATCAAATACATCTGGCTAAAGAAATGTTGATGAAGAGAATAAAGAACACACAGACACACACAAAAGCAGGAATCCAGCTGTATTATTTGCAGTTTTCATCCCCAGCCCTCTTTAATTACCTTACAGGTACATCTGAAGATAAAGCCATAAAACTGCCCTGTACTTGGCCACGAGAAACTTAGGTCCCACAAATATCCTTACCTATGAACTCATTTCGGATCTGTGTTCTTGTTCTTAGGTCTTCTTTCCCAAGTATGATGGCATTGATAGCACTCAGCAGTGTCACCATGTATGGCACATTATCTGTGTTCGACAGCTCATTCATTATGACACTGAATCGATACTGCTGGTTCTTCACATTCTGTTAGTGACACAAGTGACATTTCTGTTTAGACGGTTCAGTAACAACTTCTTTAGTGCAGGCTCTCAACTAGGGTCACCATCTTAAAACCATTCTCAATTTATGCCTCGGAGCACAATACAGGAAGATAGAGGGAAAAGCAGCACTCTTATCATGGAACAATATCTGGTCAGCAGGGGACATCTGTGGAACTCCTCCTGCTTTCTGCTAACTTACATACCTGGTCTTGTAACCAGTGAAACCCATGGATGTGGCACCATCTACCTTTGTACTTTTCCTGACATAAAGAACATTATTATTGGTAGTCCTTTGCCCAGAGACAAATCACAGAGCAATGCCTCTGGGCTTCTGCTGACCAGGCCAAAATTCCTACAAATTCCTTTGTAAATCCCTGCCTCTCCTACCAAAATGATGTAAAGTGACCTTCTCTCCAAACCCTTTTCTCCTCCTGCAGCTCAAAACTTGCCTTGTAATGATCCAGGGCATCCAAAGCCAAACCATGGCCATCTGATGAGTAAATGCACAACGCAGCTAGGAGTTCAAATACTTGCTTTTTCACCATGACATTAGTTGTGTCAAGTGCTGGAGGAAAATGAAACAAAACAAAGTGAAAAAAAGATTTTTAAAATCACAAAGTTCTGAATCTCAGTGTCTTCTGCTGTAAGGCTTGTGGATAGTGGCAGAAGAAAACCTGAAAGAGTGCAGCCAGTGGAGGACAGGAAGAAAAATATCCTTATTTATAGATGTCCCACTCCAATAGCAGTATGTGGTAGTAACTTCTAGTTAGTAACTAACTCAGTTACCCCACCAGCTTTTTGGTGCTGCATGTAGCTGTTCACCTCTTCCAAGTACTAACAGCAGCCAAGATCTCAGCACTTGCAGTTACACATTTTATTTCCAATTTTCACATGCAAATGTTTTCTAGAACAGCAGATGAACCATTTTCCCCAATTAATGAATCTTATTTTTAGTGCAGAGTCACTCAACATGCATATCAAATAGGCCATTTGTTCTTTCCAGTCCTCATACATTTCCTTTTCTTTCATTATTCTCTCTCTATGAGCCCTTGGAGGTGAGAGGGAATGGATTAGGTTATCTTATTTTTGTGTTCATTGGTGCACAAAGAAGCCAGACTGCTGAGAAGCCCAGGATATCCCATTGTCTTTCACAGTACAGTAATGCCAGTTCTGTATTTCACACTGGTTAAGAAAATACAGCGTGAAAGAAAAGAGGACTTGAAAACTATAGAGAGGAACAAGCCATCTTTCAGATTAGATGCATTTTAATGAGCTATTAGTAAGGATATCCAAATACAGCTGTGATCTCAGCTCTGTGGAGCAACACAGAAGTTATCATCCCAGCCCCACTGCCAAGAAGTGCTATACAAGCAAACCCTAGGAGACGACCTGGAAGTTTCCTACCAAATGAAAGGCAGGAAATCTCAAATGATGTTATATCTCATTTCCTAGAAGGAAAAGACTGGGTAACA